CCCTGCCCTATACCCTTTAACTAGATTCTAAACGATTTAAATTTGCACAACCTCTCAAGTGTCATGTTGAACACACACACACACCCACACACACAGAAAACATTTACACATTTGAACAATACGATGACGGAAAAAAAAGGTGTCTGACTTGCATTAGAAGAATGCAATTAAGCCAAAGCATTGGATAAGGTTATTGAAAAAGGTTTAGCAAAAAGTCATTAGACCACAGAGACGGGCAGTGCTCTATGTCTGCTGCGGTCAGGCTCTGACTTCACCTGCTGTTTCTCTCTGAGATAGGTGGCTTCAGTGAAGTGGTTAAAGTGTAATATGGTTTTTCTCCCAAGGTGTATGACGGCACCTGAACGGAAAGGAGGGAGAACATCAAAGAGTGGCAAATGACCAAGCTACCTACCTGCAAGCTCAAAGTATTTGGAATTAGTAATGCAAGCCTTACAAAAACATGTGCATCAATTAAAGAGTTGAGGTTTTTCACATTTGCCATAGAGAGCAATGATGTAGTGCAGAACATGATCCATAATTCATGAAAAGTTCCTAAGAACCAGACTAATAGAAACTTTCCTGTCAATATTTCAACTCAGCAAAGTGTCTTCACTGAAACCCTGCTGGCATAAACTGGGAGTTGGCCTACATTTCCTCAAACGAGCAAAAAGGGAATGACTTGCTATGAAGAAAGCAATCTCCAACGTGAATGGCAGTGGCCATAAGTAAACCATGGGATGATCTAAGTGGTCAAGGAAGGCTTGGTAATCCTCAAAAAGTGATAGAATTGAAGTGATATTAAGCTTTATATATATGTGGCTGCGATTCATGCAATCACAGCCAAAGATTTTCTCAAGGCCTTTGCCGTGCAATTGCTCGCCTCGTCGCTGGCTCCAGCAATTTCTAATCTTGCAACTACAAATGACTTAGACAAGTGACAAAGCACCTGTGAGGGCAGCCTCTGATAGATTCCAGCTGTTGTTGCTCGGAAAATTACAAACATTTGTTCAAGAAAACGCCTTCAGATACAGCTGTTTGTGAAGGGGATATGGGAAAAGCTGCAATGGTGATAAAAGAAGGCTCGCAGAAGGCTGTGCTGCACTGTTGAGTTGTTATCTCAGAAAGCCAAGCCCTGATGAAGAGGAGGAGGCAGTAAGCTGCAAGGCTCCAAGCCCCAACCAGCAGTCCCGGTTTGGACAAGAGAGGTTAAGAGTCTCAACACTGTTTGACTCAGTCCTTTGAAAGAGTAAAGCTTTGCTCCCATTTTAAACCTGTGCGCCCTATCGACTCAATCACCCAATTAAGGAAAACAGCCTGGGGCTTTGTCGGCCTCTCAGCCTTCAAAATGTTTATTCAGAGAAGCTATCCGTTTTATGAAAAGCTGTCTTTACAACACACCCATGGCAAAAATGTGACGCTGCAAAAGCAAAGGACAACATTGATTTCAAGAGATGAAACAGTTTGACAACCAAATTTGGGAACAAGCTCATTCCTTTCTCCGAGAGAGTAGGGGGCAGGCTTACCCTGAGTCAGCTGACGGGGATGAGTTACCACGGTGCCATTGACTGAACACATTGCACCCTCCTGAGGGATGAGAGTCACAGTCCCCGCGTGGTTTTCAAACGCACAGTGTTCACCAACGCGCTCACAATTACCATCTTCTATGAGAAACAAAAACATAAAGAAGGCAGAGTTAAGAGTCAGTAAATCAACAGATGATGCAACAATGGGTTCTATGATTTAGTAACCCTGACTCACCAATATTCCAGCCGCAAGATGCTTTGTTGGCGTTGATCATGGTTCTGCCTTCCTACAGAGGTGATTAATCAGGAGACAATAAGTAAGGTGTGTGAGCAGTCGGCTTTGGCTGGTGATTAATTAACAGAAAACAGAGAATGAATGCCAGTCAGGTGAAGATGAAACGCTCCATTTACTTTCAAATAATATAGGACGACGCCACTGTTGAGCAAGTCTTCATCAATGCCGATCAGATGGGGGAACTGGCAGTCCAAAACCAGTGCATTTCCTTCCTTCTTCAGAGCCACTGCCTCCTCCTATGGGACACAAGAGATTACCCTGAGAAGGACGGAGACCGTCTTTAAGAGCCCGTAGCTGAAATGGCACGCGATAATAAAGAAAAAAAGCTGACAGACATTTAATGACAAGCAGCAGAAAACTAAATTCTTTATGACTGCTCTTCCTTGCCTGAAGGCCAAGCAGAATAGCCGAGTTTTGCCCATGTGTTGCTACGAAGCAGTCGAGTGGCTGACGGGGAGAGAGATGCAATAAATCATTTAGATTACCATGGTGGGAGTCAAACTGTACATTGTGTTCGCCGAGCGAAAAAGACACAGCGCCAGCAGCCACACACACACACACACACACACACACACACACACACACACACACACACACACACACACGCATTGAATAAATTGCACCATTGCCACTGGTGATGCAAAACAATCAAGGTTGTGTCACGTTTAACGTTCCCAAGCTTGTACATAGGCATAAAAACAAACTTATTCCACATCATTATGGATGTCTCCGTATGGAAGGAAAAACAAGCCAGACATGTCTTACGCACGGTAGGTCTACCAAAGTTCACGTAGGCCTACAAATTCATCCCTTAGGTCGTACAATCTGGAGTGCAGAATTCTCAGAAAAACTGCTGTGAGGTCACACAATAAGATGAAAAACTTTAGCTCAATGAGCATCAAAATTATTAATTTCCACAAATAAGTTTTGATTTTTCTGTGGTTTTGTGATTCCTCCATTCCGGGTACCGGTGTTTCCCAGAATTGGATCATCGTGCGACACAGGAAGAAAGAAGTCCCCGATCTCTCTCTTGGCCATTCAGTACAATAAAGAAACAACGGTAGCTTAGTACATTAAAAATGGTAAATAATTTAACAGTACATGATTTTTATTCTATTTCAATAAATTACAAATAGTCAAAACAAAAAGCATACATAAATTATAGAATGGAATGCACACCACAAGTCAACTTTTAATGTTGAGAAACTAACCTCTGAGTCTTATGCAGTTTTGCTTTTTACCATCACGTCACTTAATAGCTGAAATGCAATTTGTCAAGTTTTACTGTACAATCATTGACTTCTTATAAACTTGCAGGGAAATTAAGAATGGTGAAAACCTTGATGCATAAAGCTGACTCGCCTTCACTGATCCTCTGCTCACTTCAGTTCACTCAGCCTATGTCAAGAGTCAATGGGTGAGTAATTTACATTTATTTGAGTTTAATTTTATTCGCACTTGAAATCTTCAAAACACATCTGGGGGAAAAAGAGTTTGGGCTGATGAAACCAAGGTCACCTTTTTGATTATGCCAAATGCCATATTTGGCATTGTTAGAAAGGAACCTGGCACATAAGTCAATAGGTGACTTGAGCTAGGCCACTGTGTCGCTGTGACCTTTTTCCTGGCTCGACACTTTCCTATTGATTTGCACTCAGGTAACTCTTACCAATTGAAACCGTGAAGTCACATATTGTCACATGAGCTCGGCAAAGTGGGGGTCAGCTAGACACCATCTCTCTTGAGTTTCATTTACGCTCTTAAAGATTTGAACTGATTTATCTTGGGTTCTTTCTGTATCACGAAACCGGTATTTGGTGTGTCGACTATGTAGCCACTGTACACTGTAATTATAAAATGTAAAAGCACCGACACCGAGTGTTTCATACAGTCCCTCCATCCATCATTCAGAATATGTAAATGTGCAAGTCACACCACCTTTACATTAACTCTTTTATGCACCAATAACAATAAGCTGTAACCTGATAACCTGACAAGATGTCGACTGTAGTAACCGATGTCCCCGAAAGGGTTGAGCAACCATACTGGGCTATTCTTACTATTACTATTATTTTAGACTAGGATAAAATGGTCCGGAGAAGACAAAACAATTTCCACTTCACTTGACAAGAAATGAAACATTTAACCTGGAATGACCTATTGGGGTCAAAGGGCACACTAAATTAAGCCATGAAAGAGAAAGTTACACTTCGGCAAGTGTTCGCGGCCAATAACCTCCTTCCCAAGGCTTTGGGATTTGAGAAGCTGAAATCTATAGCCAAGTGCAAATGCTACTCAAAAGAGGTAACTCTTTTTAAAACGGTGGACTAATGTCCCAGATTGCTATGGATTATCTGGAGTACCTCACCAAGAGGCTGAGTGGAAAATCTTGCACATGGGGAACCGTCATTCCACCACTCTCTAAACCTCTGCCTCCTCCTACTCACTTTTGCATGGACAGTGACAAGAAACATGTCAACAACCTCCACCTTACTCAGTGACAGTTGACAGATTGAAGAAATCCTCCTCACCCCCCCCCCCCCCATAAAGCGGGAGAGGTATCGACCAGAGCCTGTTAATTAAAAGGGATTCTTCACAGACTTCATTAGAAGTTGGGAGAGTCCTGGGATGAATGCATTGTCTCCCATTCCTCTGACATCAGGAACAGATGAAACGCTCTTAGAGTCTCCTCACAATCACATATGTGGCAGTGAGCGCTGATCATTTCAGATGGGCACTCAGTTTGCCGTGTTGACCAAAGAAAAAACTAAAGACCGCTTTCCACTTGAGGCAGCTGATGAATATGCCTTAATTAATGTTGACATTTGCAAAAGGAGCATTTAGGATTCCATTAAATACTATCATCAGCAAAAAAAAAAATTATTTGAGCATTTGACAGTTCTTATTCACTCATATGAATTTCAAACCATCCAACTGCGCCAACTAATATCACTCTTAATACCTCTCGGCCATGTCTGTGGCGCAACATGCCAGTTTAGCAGAAATTTGCAATGAATTTTGCAGAGAAGCATATGCATTTTTACAGCATTAATACATACACATAGTCTGGTATGAACACTTAAATTTAAAAAATGTAATAATAAAGAATGATTCCTACTTGTTAAGTAATTTGCCCATGAGGTGCCAAATTTCAAATGGCATTTTGGATTATAAATGTAGTACATGGGAGGATGCAAAATTGGCGTTGATATGCATAATCCATCTTTTGAGGAGAATGCAGAGAGATATTCAAATGTGTGAGTGTTATGGACTATCAGCACTTGTTCTTCCAGATCGACTTTCATTCTGTAAGAAACTGCTCTGGATTCATTTCAGAATTTGTTTCTCCTGACGATTCATAACTGCATTCTAAACTGATTATAATACGGAAAAACTACATATAGACCTAGAAAAAAAAGCTCTTGATTAACTTGTCTCATGGCCCTGGTGGGAATTTCAGTAATACGACTTCATACAAAAAAAGTGTGAAAAGTATTAATTTTAATTAAATTACAAAGTAGGTGCCAGAAATTTTATTTTTGTATCGACCAGGGTTCAAGGGACATATGAGTAACCTGCAGGCCTGTTCTAAAAATAGCTCACCGGTGATGGGACACCAAAGAATGTTGTACAAGTGATTATTTTTAAAAAATGTCAAAATGTTGACACACAAAAAAGTGTTACATTTTTATACTTCTCTGTCTTTTAATTATTGTGAGAAAATATTCTGTCTGAACATAAGTTTACATAATTTATTAATAACATTTGACACAATTGCTATTTCAGAAGTGTGTAGCCATTTCCATCAATCTACCCACGAATGTAGCTCTCAGTTTCAAAAACATTGGTGACCCTCGGTATAG